GCTGTCTGCCTGTCGTCTTCTAGTTGCGATCCGTCAACGACCCACCCCCCCACCCCCCACGCGAGTCGGACCTACCAATCCCCTACAACGCTCGCCAACAGTACTAGGAGTGATTTGCTAAATTTTCTTTCAGGAGGTGAGTTATCGGGAAACCTCGCCATTGAAAAAAAAATAATAACATCGCGTTCTTGTGCGGTGACTATACAAAATGGTTGTGTCTTACGATCCACATAGCTCAAATCCTGACTGATGGGACGCGTAGTTCGAAAGGGAGAGATAGGTGGATGTCGAAGACAAGTCGATTGTGAAATCCATTAAGTTGCAGGCATGAGCACGAAAACGGGAGCTCGTACATCGTACATCGTCGGTACCGGGAGCGGTGATCTGCTCCCGAATTAGTTTATAGTTCAGTAGATGGACTAACTCATGAAATGTCAACGAAATTCCGAAATGCGTTTTCATTTTGAAAAGATTAATTGAGTAGGGTTGCAAAACAGATAATTGTGCAACGTAATTCTATAATAATTCGGTTACCGTAGGATGCCGACTATCGAAACAACTTGTTTCCGGCTGCATGCAGAAGCCACAATGTACAAAAAATGACTACTTAATTAACATGCATTTTTCTCATTGATTTTTGGTACACCTAAAAATGCAATTATAATTCACAGAAAAATATGAATAAAAATATTCACTCTTCTGCTCATTCGGTAGAAAACTACTTCCTCTTCCTACTTTGTACTCGAAGGGAGAGTAAAATTGGGTTTTAAAAAAGTTTCTTATTTTGAGACTTTTTATACCGTGAAATGGCGTCTATAAAACGTTATGTTTTTGCATTTACGAATGTGGCTTGTAAAGTTAGCGATAGGGCTCTAATTCACTACTACATTTTATGAACCCCATATGGCCTCCTCTTAATGCCGTAGAGAAACGTATGGTTTTCCGCAAGCGGAAAATACACGGCATGTAGTTTGGAAACCCTGAATGCAAGTGTTACTACATGTCGAGTTCACAATTATTCTGGAATTGGAAAACTTTTTGAAAACCGAATTATACGCTTCTATCGAGTATAAAATTAAACGGCGAAGTAGTTTTCTATCGAATAAGCAGAAGAGTTAGTAGTTCTATCCATGTTTTCTGTGAAATATAATTGAATGTTTACGGGCATCGAAAATCAATGCGAAAAATTCATGCTAATTAAGTAGTCATTTTTCGCGAATTGTGGTCTTTGCATGCAGCCGGAAAGAAGTTCACTCGAAAGCCGACATCCTGAGGGAACTTAAATATTATAGAATTATGTTGCAGACTGACTAGTTTTACAACTCTACTTAATTAATCTTTTCGAACCGAAAACGCATTTCTCCCCTCAACCGCCTTAAGTCGGTGACCAGACGACGTCAACACGACGGGAGGTGGGTTTGGACACAGCCTGTCTGCGATTGCCACACACGACCCGACCTCCACTATATGTGCTTAGCTTTCGCAATGTCGGTTCAAAACATCGCCTTCGAAAAATGCGTTTGTTACGTTTCCACGAAAAATGGATTGACAAGGCGTTCTCTTGTGATTTACCCGCATAATATCTGGCCTTCTCGAAGGCGTGACTCATAAGAGCGCGATGCCTGGCATTCAGCGACATGTGTCAAACAGTCTAATTTCTAAAGATCTGCGGGTAACGAGGCGCCTGGTAACGGGTTTCAGAAAACTTGATTGACCTGACACAAGCACCGAAGACCAATCGACGAATTCCGTGGCTATGTCGCGAAAAGCATGCTAACGCACATGTCCGACTGACTGTTACTCGAAAGTCAGGGCGCCATGACGTATGAGGTAACCTGCGATTTTGCGGCATGCCTTGTAAACAGACTGATATTTTAACTGAACCTTCGACACATATACTTTAGTCCTCTGCATGCTAACATAAATTAACAATTTGCACAACTTGTTTACTACAAAGAACGGACAGTATATTAGGCCAGACGTGGACTCAGCTCCAAGAGCGGGAGACGCTGTCATGGACGACTACCAGAAGACATCCGCTGCCTGCGTATTCATCCGAGGTCATACAGCCATCCGTCCGCAGGTGGGCATAATCTGCGGTTCAGGACTGGGCAATATCGTTGATCTGCTGGCCAATCAGATCGTCATCCCCTACAGCAAGATTCCCGGATTCCCCTCCTGCACCGGTAAGTATCTCATCGCATGGCTTCATGCAACTAACCTCGTCTCACACAGTGCTCGGCCATGAGGGGAAGTTCGTGTTCGGCGAGTTGGGAGGTAAATCGGTGGTGGTCATGCAGGGCCGCTTCCACCCCTACGAGGGCTACAGTCATCGAATGGTAGGCAACAGCTCCACCCCTCCCCGGATATCCTTCCTTCTCCCTCCCTCCGCCCTCCCGCTCTCTCCATCTCTCTCCACGAAACCTTTTAGATTGCTCTGCCAATTCGAGTGATGAAGATGCTGGGCGCGACATACCTCTTTGTCACCAACGCTGCCGGCGGCATGAACCGCACCTACAAGCCGGGCGACATGGTTGTGATCCAGGATCATGTGGATTTCTCCAGTGTAGTCGGCCTGAACCCCCTCACGGGGCCCAATGATGAACGGTAGGGTGGAATTACTGTCTAACCGGGGGTGTCTGACAGGTTTGGACCCCGATTCCCCGCCCTCACAGGCATGTATGACGCAGGGTTGAGGGAGCTGGCTCAGCGCTGTGGGCGCGAACTCGGTTTGGGGGACAGCCTCCACGAGGGCATTTACTTCCATGCTGCGGGACCAGTCTACGAGACGCCGGCGACCAATCGCATACTCCTCAGTCTCGGCTGCGACGCCATAGGTGAGTGTTGTGTGTGTGCGTGTGTGCAGAGCGAAAATACTCCCAACTCCTTGTTGTTTATGGCGCTTCCATCAAATTTCAATCTGCCGATCTTTTATGTAGATTCGTCCCTGCTTAGTTTAATCAATTCTCAATGTAAAAATTGTTTAAGATCTGGACCAAAAAGCCGGTTTTGAGCTTTTTCCTGCTCAAATTAATCTGAATTTCAGCTTTTGCCTTATTCCATGGGAGATAAGCGTATTTTAATACCAAGAGCTGAGGCGAAAAGTTAAGCTGGATCACGCATTATTGTTAGTGGTTTCAATAGTGGAGTCAGTAGGCCCTGGGGTTATGCGTTTCGGAGTAGCATAGCATCCTCAGACGGGGATGATCTGGGATTGGCAGTCAGTGCCAGTCGGTCTGAGACTCAACGATCGGCCAACGTGCCGCAGGTACTGTCGAACACATTCCTCCTGCCTAGGTTCAGCTCAAACTAATATTGGTATCTGACATATCCCGACACCCATTTTACTTTATAATGCTGGCTTTCGAAAGAATTTCTTTACGGCCGCAGGCGAAAACTACCCTCTCTACAAAATGGCCACTTAAGTAGCATGTATCTTTCTCCTTGATTTTCAAGACCCTTAAAAATTCAATTATATTTCATTGTAAACATTCATAAAAGTATTCATTCTTTTGCCGATTTGGTAGAAAATTACGTCTCCTTCCAATTTTATGCTCAAAGGAAGGGTAAAGTTTCGGTTTTAAAAACCTTTTCTAATTCCCGATTAATTGTGAATCCGATCTCCCGTTAAACTTGCATTTAGGGATTCCAAACTACAAGCCATGTATTTTCCGCATACGGAAAACCAAATGGAACGAGGGAGTTCCGTATGAACGATCGGTGAGCGCCCCCTACCACTGTATATTCCCGATCGAAAACCGAAAGGGCTAGGGGCTCGTGGCCCGGTGGGTAGAGGTGTAGACTTCTAAACCAACAGGTCGCGAGTTCGAGGCTCGGGTGTTCCACACTGCGGGCTTGGGTATGGCTGACTGACGACGGCTAACAAGCCATAAATGGGCGTTCCAGTTTCCCTTGTCTTTTTCGGCAATGACATTCTGCCCATATCATCCGCCGCTGTGCGACTGCTGGTTTGGCTTAAGAGAGAGCCCCTAAGGCACAACGGAACGAGTGAGTCTCGTCATAACGATCGGCAAGCGCACCTCCACCATTTCTCTACGGTATTAATAGGAGACTATATGGGGTTCGTAAGATTTAGTAGTGGATTTGAGCCCCCCCCCCTTTATTACCGTCGAGAAATATGTGGTTTTCCGTACTTGGAAAATATACGGCTTGTAGTTTGGAAGGCCTGAATCCAAGTGTGACGGTAGAGCGGGTTCAAAATTATTCGGGGAGTGGAAAAGTTTTTGAAAAGCGAATTATACCCTTCCTTCGAGTATAAGATTAAAAGAAGACGTAATTGCCTACCGAATGAGCAAAGGAATGAATATTTTCATGCATGTTTTCCATGAAATCCCATTGGACTTTTAGGGGCATCGGAAATCATTGAGAAAAATTGCAAGCTACTTAAGTAGTCCTTTTTTACAGAGGGTACTTTTGGCATGCAGCCGAAAGGAAGTTCGTTCGAACTGAATTATTATACAATTATGCTGCCGGCCGATAAGTTTTACAACCCTACTTAATTAATCTCTTCGAAACGAAAACGCATTTCCTAATCTCGGTTGATATTTCATGAGTTAGCCCACCTATTGTAGGTTAGCGAATGGTATGCACAGCGGCAGAGCATCACCACAAACATTTTATGGGGGAATCATCTTCTTAAATCGAGTCTAGGCCACATTTGGAAGGTTGTGGGGACAGTGTCATGTGGAGGATGGGTGGAGGCTTCAAAACACCGTCTAAACTATCATCTTTTTTCGCTAGTACACTGATTTGAAAGGCATCCTGCTTTTTATGCAGGGGAAAGGCGGAGGAAAGGGAATAGTCACACAAAAGACTGAAAAGGTCGCTTCTGAAATATTACCCACCATCACCCAGAATGACCTGGGACTCGAACCCGACCACTTAGGTTAGCAAACGTTTTGCACAGCGGCAAAACACCACCACGAACAGTTTGTGGAATGGGAGGAATCATCTCCTTAAGTCGAGACTAGGTCGCATTTGGAGGGTGGTGAGGACAGGACCATGTGGAGGCTTCAAAAAGTCGTCTAAATTATCATCTTTTGTCGCTGGTACAGTGATTCGAAAGGCATCCTGCTTTTTATGCAATCGGAAGCATGCTGGTGTTGGCAGCCCTAAAGTCTAAAATCTTAACAACTGAAGGGGGTTGCGTCACGACGTCCGTCCTCGTTTCCAGGACGTCTGATATCGCCTTTTAAAGTGCATTCCATGCAGAACACTGGCATGGCAAACACCACCTGTTGTAATCCTACCCGAGTCGAAACTGCGTAGTCGGCGGTTCACTCACAGGTTGTTTACGCCTGTGATTTCCGCTTCTGACGTCCTCAATCATTTTAGACGAGGTAGTAAGCCGTTTTGGGTGTGAACTTGTCTCGTAGCCTGCACTTTATTTCCATCTGTACCCATTGTCAAGTAGTCTCCACTCCGAATTCTCTTAAATGGTAGAATTTGTAAATTACCATGGTAGTGTGGACGCAGCCGACCAAACAATACAAGGGCTCACAAGGCTCCGAGCAGAATTTGTACGTTTTCTGTTAGTAGTACGTCAGATCGCCCGAATCCACGCAAGTACTCCTGCGACCGAAGAACCTCATGCAATGCTGTCTGAAATGAAGGTCAGATGAATCAATCCGTCATATGAAGTTCTTGAATATAACGTCCGCATGAGATATACAAACCTTCTTGTGAACGTATGTCGCATTTCGAACATTCATCGCATTACGCCTGTGGCGGAGACAAAGTCTAAAAAGTTACGGAAAGTGCATGCCGAGAGTCGTATGGCGAATTTCACGAATAAACTGGCGGGCATTCGATCGTGATGGCTAGATCAGACATACTTGTAACGGTGTGCTCTGGTGGCTACAATTGTCGAAATACGTTAAATGGTTACGTGAGAGTGTAAATTTGCTGACTGAAGCGAACAGGCGAGTTCCAGGTAGCAGTTCAGAAGATGAAGATGCGATCACTGGAACAAGAACTTTATTGGCTTGACGTTTCGGACATTCGCAGATAAAGGTGATGGTGGCACCAGGAGTGCAGTATTTATAGCACGTGTCTGCCGTGGGACCATATGCGCACTGTAATTAACAGATCTCGCAGTCACCGCTGAAGTCGTAATTGATGCGATGGTGGCTTGTCAATCCGCGTCCGAGTCGTTAATTGCCATGACTTCGTCATCCGTGCTGGATGCTGGTGTGACGATTGCTCGGCAAATCGGCTCACTGTCACTGGGCTTATTGCTCGCTGCGCCCTCCCCACGTGACTGATTCCCCTGCCCAGGGAAAATCTCAGCACGGAATATGGTACCGGAAGGTCATTGCGCCTGTTGACGGTTTGCGGGCCTGAGAACCATGACTCGAGCAGCTCGCGGCTCATGCGGTTATCAGCCCTTGAGAGGATTTCGGCCTCTTGAAACTTGAAAATATGGTCGGGTCCTGTCGAATGACCCGCCATAATGGATATGGATTGCACTAATAACTGGGTAGATGAGATATTACCTAAATAGGCAACAGATAGTCTTAAACCCCTCATGGTTACAAGCTTTTATGAAACAAAAAAGGCTCTGTTACTGAGAAGGATCTTTAAATAAAACGTTTTTTTACGTATAATTAGTAGAACTTAAGGTACTTTTTACCTGCCTTCCGTAACATATGCTTGAAGTTGTAAGGCCATCGTTAATTAAAGGAAAAATAATACTATTTAAGTTGTCATTTTCTAACTAGTGGAATTTTCTCAGCCCTCCTTGTGCGATGGCATAACTAAGTCTGCTTTTTAACGAAATGGGTATTAACCTCGACTTGGCCCCGAAAGGCTCCATATACCATTTGACACCAACTTCTGAGTACTTCCGCTGCGAAAGGCGAACTCGCTTTCGACTATTTACTACTCTTTTGCCTTTTCCAGGAATGAGTACGACTCAAGAGACTATCGTCGCCAGACATATGGGCATGAAGATTTTCGCGATTTCAATGATTACAAATCTCGATACCGTGGATGAGAAGTCGGAAATTGTTCCAAATCACGAAGAAGTTCTACAAATGGCCAACCTCCGAGCTCCACTTTTAGCGCAATTGCTGGAAAAGATGGTTAAAAATCTGTAAACAAAGCATTACCTCAGGCAGAGTCTCAAAGTTAATTATGTGACATCTCAGCAGATATGTCATCAATGAGACTTTACGCAAATCAGCTACCTGCCTTTAAGGAATTAGTTTTCACTGCCTGTGCTATCGAAATCTGAATAAATCCTGTATCCAAGGAGAACTTCTCCACTGACTGCCAAATCAAAATTAAACGAACATTCTTGGGAAATGAATCATGCTGCATGTCGTTCTGACCGCGTAGAAGTAATGGCTAGTACTCATGTTAAAAAGTAGGCATTTTTGCATGCGACTGCCATCATTTTAGGACGTTAATGCAAATGCTACTAAATATACGACAGTAGTATGGAATATTAGGGGAGAACATACATTGGACTGAATCAATTTGACTGATTCCAGGTAACGAAGACCGCACAAACCTCCAGCGTCCGCGGTAAACAGTAAAATGAAACTCGTTCTGTGAATAATCCTTTCAAAATTCAAATCGTCAAATCGTCGGGCGTCCCAAGCCCGACATTCACAGACGCTACTGCGCCACGCGGAGGCTTTTGGCTGCTGTGTTTCCCCCCTGGCCCGACCTGGATAACTCGCCCTCCTTCCATATCGATGTCGCGGTTAGCATGGACGCTCGATCTGCTGCTATCATTCAACCAGGAAGCCCAGTTTAACCACAAACTCCAAATCATCCACAATCCTGGCGTTGTATAATGACCCGCCTGACGAAGGCGCCGTGATGTCTGACTCAGCGCAGAGGAACTTGAAGCATCGGAACAGCCACTTTGCCAGTCCGTACGTTGGAGTACCTTTGAGCGACACGATGGGTTGGAGAGGAGCGCCCTTAGAGAGTGCACCTTAGGGAGGCCATAGAATCGGGCTAAGGTCGTATCGTGGGGTCTCGCCTTGCGTCTGTCGGCCGATGTTATTGCACCTGAGTCCTCCAGAGTCAACAACGTAGCATTAATTTTGCATATCATCGCTTTGACAGGGCTCGTTGCACATGGAACATACAATAGTTGGTCCTCCTGTAAACCTTTGACTTTTCGAAGGTAGTCTGTCATTTCCAATACAACCATGAAACGCCCCTTGTCTGTTGGCACGATGACGAAGTCTATGTTGGCCTTGAGTTCTCTAAGAGCATCACGTTGCACCTTGGAAAGCACTCCCCGCGACTTGTGGGCCATGAGGAGAGACGAATCTTGTTGTAGGATCAGACTATTAGTCTCCTACATCGCTTCGATCTGACTAAGGATTCATTTCGCTGCTGCAATCATTTTACCAGGCTTGGCGTCAGTCGTGTTGAAAGAAGCTTCGTGACGGGAAACCTGCATCTGATCCTTCGTCAGCTCTTTTGACGACAGGTTGTGCACCAGTTTGTCGTTTTTGGGTGACGTTAGATTGGGCAGCTTTTGGAATTTGTTCTCCAGTGCTGCATCACGTATCGCTCTCTTTTCTCCGACTGGCCGGATATGAGATCACAGCATCTGGTCTTTTCTTGGTCAATCCTTTGACGGCACTTACGAAGTCTCACGTGGCAATCTTGGGGGAGAACTCAAATCATACTTCTGCCATGCTGAAATACTGCTCGACTCGTCAAATCCGTGTTCACCGGAGGCTTTCCTGAAAGACCTTTTGGTAACACATTGTTGTCCAGACACTTATGCAGAAACCGAAGCTACGCATACGTAGAGGCCTCTCCAATCTGTGTGGTTTCATGCTCTTAAACACAGCA